GGGCTGCCGGGCTGCCAGAGGGATGTCTGACTGCCAGCTTGGGCCCGGTTCCCCAGGGAGTGGGCCTAAGTCAGCAGGTGGACATCCTCCAAGGTGTCCCAGACTGCAAGAGGGCATAGGCCGGGCTGAGGGATCCTCCCGAGTGCACAAATTTTTGTGCTCCAGACCTCTAGTTTATTATAAAGACTCTTGTGGAGAAATGTTGGCTAAATGAAATCTGAAGCCCATTGGCAGAGGTATATTGATACTACCATTGCTTTGGGTCACATCTTAACTTTTCAAATTTGGACCATTAATATGAATGTACCTGAACATCCCCTGGGACATGTGAGCCCTATTTTGGAGACCATAGCACTATTTTTTTAAGTGGACTGTAATGTTATTTCTAAGTGAATTTATAGCATTTTTAAAATACAGATTTTTAAAAATTGGTCATTATTTGATTTTATATAATATATTATAGAACATAACACATTCATAGACTGATATAATGTGTTATGGAGAGAAAAAACCTATTGACAAAGTAGTACCAATAAATAGTATTGGTTATGATCCTACTAATATTTCAGTCTGGTCTATCCATATACTATGTAGATGAAAGAACCAAAGAAAAGTCCGTTTATGGGATTATTATAAAAGACACTTATTCATATCTAAAGTTCTAAAGGAGAGCAAGGAGAAACTGAGATTGACCAATTATCTTGTGAAGTTTGTCATTAGCCTCGGTAACTCAAGAGAGAATAAAAACTCTTCTACTCATAAGGAATATTTTTGCTTAAATAATTTGAATAATTTCATCACTATTTCAATTAGTAGTATCCTTAAAATCATTTAAGTGAGAAATTTTTTAATTAGAGTGTCTAACTGAGGCATTCAAGAGAAAGATGAATTTCAAAGCAAAATGAAAATTGGCTTCATGACCATTTTTTAAATGACTTTATATTTTGAAGTAGTTTAAGACTCACAAGAAATTGCAAAAATAGTTCAGAGGTTTCCATGTACCATTCATGCAGCTATTATGCATGTCAAAACTAGATTTGCATAATTCAGCTACTCATCCATGTTGGGCATATAAAAGCATCAGGTTGCTGGAGAGCAAAATGAAGGATTTATAAATGGTGACATATTTGGAACTCTGGGTGTGCTATAGGTTCCCCTAATGTCTTATCTAGAAGTGACTGCACATCTATAACAGATGGGTATTTTCTATTATTTCCAAGTGGCCCAACTGTCTAAAAAAATTAGAGGGGGGAGAAAGCATTTAAGATAATCATACAGGGTTTTGGTTGCTTATTTTTGTAAAGATTGTCAATTTTTACCATTCTCCAATTCAAGGAGAGTATTTAACAACAACAACAACTGTTTATTCCCAGGTAACTGAAGTATAAGACAAAATTTCTTTCTCCTTAAATCTCTCACGAGTACATCTGGCCAGGCTCTTGATTGCATCTTTTATGTCTACTTTTAAAGCTCTCTCTTCCCAGTTTCATTTTATCAAAATTGTCATTGAAATTTACTTTAGGAAAGAAAAGAAACTGCAGTCATATTTTTTTGAACACAGACCAAATGCCTGCAGGTCTGTACCAGGAGAAATGATGCTTTTTCAGTGAGTTCTCCTTTATCCTCACCTCACATGGCCAGTCCACCTCCTACCAACTATGCATCATCCACGCCCTCCCCACTCAGCTGAATCTCTTCCTTTACTTCACCTTTTCAGGTTTGGATTAGATCTAGGACTTTTAAGTGTCCTTCAAATCTTAGACTTGATCCACTGACAATGGGGCATGTTCAATTCAAAATTCAATGCCTTCACCTCATTCTTTTAGCAGAAAATACTCACTTTTTTCTTATACTAATGTTGTTGATTTTGTTTTCAATTCATTTCTGTATTTTCCACTTTACCTCATAGAGCACCTTGAACATAAAAGGAATTCAATGAATGTCTACTGAATGGATGGATTCCTTCCATGAAGAAAGGAGCCAAGAGAATGACTAATGAAGCTAATTAGCCAGGTAATTAAAAAACATTTTTTTTCTAATATTTGGAAATTGCACCAAGAGTTTTTGTTAATTATACAGATAATTACTTTAATATACCACATTGCTCTCGTTCATGTGTGGGACCCTTTTGTAAGGCTGTATTTACATACACTCACAGCCTTACAAAAAGTAGATAGCCCCAGTTGGATTTAAAAAAATACACAAAAAAACCCTATTCATGGAAAATATATAAATGAATATAAAAGATACTATTACCAGTATTATTCCTTGGACCAAGGAAAGGGAATTTTTAGATAAGTGGGGTCAGTGGACTTATACTTTTTACTATACACGTTTCTACCTTGTTTTAATTTTTTTATGTGTGAGTATTGCTTTTTAATATTAATTTTTAAGATTATATAAACTAAACAGGAAATTAAGCATAGGCACTGTGGTCTTGAGCTTTTGAGCTTGTATCCTTCATTGATTCATAGTAGGGGATATAAAATCAAATGCTCCAGGGCACAGGCAGGGATGTAAATAAGCAAATTGTCCTGCGGATGGATTATGACAAAAAAAAAAAAGAAGTACATGCCCAGCCGACGTGGCTCAGTGGTTGAGCGTCGACCTATGAACCAAAGGTCATAGTTTAATTCCTAGTCAGGGCATATGCCCGGGTTGCAGGCTTGATCCTCACTGTGGGGCATACAGGAGGCAGCCAATCTAATCAATGATTCTCTTTAATTATTGATGTTTCTACCTCTCTCTCCCTCTCCCTTCTATGAAATTTTATATATATATAATTTTTTTAAGTGCATGTCCTGTCTAAATGGCCAGGTACTATCTCATTCTGGCCAATTGTGCAGGAATATAGGTCCCATGCTTTCAGATCACCCAATTGCAAAAGCAGTTAAAAGTCTGGAGATTATGTAGTGAAATTTCTAGATTTTAAAAATGAAAGCACTTGATTTAAAAGCCAAACATGTCTATGGCTCAAATCCAACCTGAGTATCACCAGTGTTTAAACTCTGACTTAAGTAGCAGTCTAGAGTACTTTGCTTGTTGTTGTTTTTTAAACAATTGAAAATGTTTCAAGAAATTGACTCACCCCTGTTTTTCTCCTATCCAAAATATCAGTCAATACTTCAGAACCTACAAAGGGCTTCAGGTATACCCATGATGACTAAGCAGTAGGACCCAGAAACTGTCAAGCCTCTACAAACCTGTAAACTGATTCCCAATCAGCATAGCCTTCTGGGGCCAGGCACAGAGAAGAAGATCTTGGGCATGGTAGCAGTGTTTCCTGAGAAGGCTGTGAAGGCCAAGAATTAATGCAGTTAACAGAAAAGAATCAATTGGTGTCAGAGAGCAGTCTTCAAATCCTAGAGTTGTAACCAATCTATATATATAAAAGGCTAAGCAACTGGCCGATTGGCCAGTAGCTATGACACACACTGACCACCAGGGAGCAGATGCTCAACGCAGGAGCTGCCAAGTGTTAGCAACTTTGCAGAGTGCCCTCTCGTAGTCCAGGACCCCTTGGGGGATGTTGGAGAGCCAGTTTCAGCCCAATCTCCGCAGGCCAGGCTGAGGGACCCCAGCTACCAGAGGGACCCCACTCTGCAGATGCCCTTCAAGCCCCAGCGCTGCCCCACATGCAGCAGGTGGGGAGGGACCAGGGGAGGTTAGCTCCAGGGTGTGTCCAGCCTGTCTCGCCCAGTCCCACCCCGCCGGCTACCTTCTAATTAATTTACTTTCAATGTGTACAAATCTGTGCACTGGGCCTCTAATTAGATTATAAAGTCTAAAATAGTCACGAAGGCCAAATTTAGGATATGCCTAATGTGATGTTTGGATATGAGCAGGGGTCAAGACAAGGAAAGAACATTTGTTCATTCCAACATAAGAAATATACATAACATAATATATAAAAATATATACATAATATATAAAACATTTTATGTTGAAATACACATATAAATGTAGAAATATACATACATACAGATATATAGATGAGATATATGGAGTCCCTCCCAACTTTAGGCCTAGCATTCAAGATTGAGCCATAAAGGAGTCAGAATAGCCCAATGGAGTCTTACTTGCCAGTTAAATTATTTGTAACACCATTCAATAAACACCACAAAGATAGTGCAGTTACCTGGCAAATGAATTCTGTCAAACCACTTGCTTGATTAAGGTATCATGCCAAGTAGTACTTTCCCCTTACATGTAATAATATCTGCCACGCCACTCCTCAGCATTCACCATTGAAAACTTAGCTGGAAAATAAGAAATAAATGAACATTAACCAACAAAAGTCCTCAAAGCATCCAAAATCACCCTCACAAAGCCAGGCAGTAGGGATCACAAGGCTGTTTACAGGGCACCTCTCCCTCCACACAGCACACGTTGATCTACCTGACACACAACACTAAGATGATGGTGGGCTCTCTGGTTCTTCATTAAAGTGATTTGGAAGCAGCAAATAAAATGGTCCCTCATAGGCCCTTCATTAATTTATCAAGTGATAAATGTGAGTACAAACTGGAAACAAAACACAGCTAAAACTATCAGTCAGCTGCCTGACAAGGACAGAGAAGACATACACCCTGAAGAGTAGACACAGACTTAAAATAACATCTCGGTCTGAAGATGCAAGGGTAGGAATAAAGCTCCGGAGAGCATCACTCTGTACGCACAACAAAGCTCCCACTCATCCTGGTTGACAGGGGCCACTCAGAGCCAGGATGCCGAGTTCCATTGCTCTCAAGTGGTTGGGTGAACTTAGACAAGTAGCTTAACTTAACTTGGGTTTCCTCATCTAAAAGAATAAATCTATGTGCCTCATAGAGTTGTGAGGAGTCAACGAGTTAGCACTTATAAAGTAAATCTTAGAAGGGTTCCAGGCATATAAAAATACTCAGTAAGATTGTCTATGGATAAGGATACTGTTATCATCATGAAAAAGAGTAGATTATGCTCAGGCTAATCTAATAAAGCAGGAAGTAAATAACAAATGTAGGAAAGACCTTCTTCCAAAATTATTAAAACAAAGCATTTTGGTTTTGTGGAGTGCTACTTTGTTAGCTACCTAGAAAATGCATGTGAAATACTTCATTGATGAGCACGTCAGCACAGCTCAACACAGTGTTCTGTGGAGCCAGAAGCAGATTGCCTTCCTTGAGTCTCAGCTCTGTCAGCTACTAGTATAAGTGTGTGTGGGTCCTCTCATCTGTAAAATTAACGTAATAGTATAGTTGGTATTGGAACTATATTATGATTTTTGTGGGCCCTATAAACATTTGCCTTTATGGGCCCCTTCTTCCATAAATAATATTAAAAATTTGCCACACGGGTATAAAGACAAATACAGTCCAGGATGAGTTTCTTATTATATAGTCGTTGTTATTATTATATTTTTTTTCTCTTGACTTTAAAGAAATTAACTTGTTTTCCACAGGCACCATGCCTCCTGGATAAGTCAGCCCTGATTGTTATGAGCACTCAATTAATTAGTGTTCGTAAGGCACCTGGAACAGTGCCGGACACCACAGTAAGCACTATAGGGGCGTTTGTTAAGTAAACAAAAATGTTAGGTGTCAGACAAGCCAGATGTTCCTTCCTTCCAAGCTTGCTCCCTGCTTCCCCTGCCACCTGATAAGTAGCTTCTGTTTCAAAGTATAGTTAAAAACTTTCCTCTCTCTAAGCTGTAGTGAGCAGTGGTAACTCTGAGCCTATAAAGGCTCCAGAGGAATAAATTAAGAGCACAAATTGTGTTTAATTAAATTCCATCTTGTTAAAAAATAAGCAGAGGGCTGAGGATTGTTTGCGCCTCTTTCCTAATCAGCACAACTTCAGAGGCACCGAACAAGACGTGCTGGGAGGTTATGGCACCGCAAATGGGGAGAATTTGCTGCCTGGTTCCCGCCTTCCTGAGCAGGAGCAATAGCCCGCATCAGTATCCCCATATAGATATCTGAAGACGCCAAACTTAAGAGAGAAAGTAAAAGTTTTTATTTCTCCCCTGTAGATTATAATACATTTTTTTAAAAAAAAGAATGTTATAAGAAATGGCAGTCATTCTTTTCAATAGTTACATTCACATTAAATGCATAACAGATAACTGAATTTTCATTACGGTAATTCTTTCCATCATATTGGAAGGCTAAAAGACAAACTCGGTGTCAGGTAAATGTGTACCTGCCTTAATTCCCCCTCTCAAAGACTAACATGGGCTTAGAACATAGTCAACACTGCTCAGCCTCATTTTTGGCTATGTGAGTCAGATGGACCCTCACTCATGTATAAACAAGATTGAAGCGCCAGCCACTATTTAAATTTGGATTTAGATTACCTTTGCCATGCATACATCTTGACTTCAGCTTCCTTGTCTTCCTCTCCTCTCCCCTGCTTCAAACCTGTGTCTCATTGCCTAGCTCTGGCCTTTATATTTGCTCTTCACCCGTGGATTTGCTGTTCACCCTTACTCCCTGCTGTGTTCAAGCATCAGGCCAGCTCACACCTTGCAGTCATTAGCTATCTCTCTCACCAATGTTGGCTACATGTATGGGACCCAGCGCCAAAGTGCAAATGTGGAAAAAGCAGAAGAAAATGCTTTCTTTCTTCTTTTTTCCCCCCAATTTATCTTTATTGTTGAAAGATTATGGATGTCCCCTTTGTTTGTGTTATGTGTGTCTCCCCTCACCCCCATTGACCTCTTCCAACATGT